ATGCCGAAGTTTTTGGGCTTAGCCTCAAAGAGAGGGTTTTTCTTAGCCTTTGAACTGGCCTTCTGGCCGAATGGTGCGGGAGCAGGCTTCTTGCCGGACTTGGTAGGGGCCTGGTCATTGAGACGAACGAGTCAGTGAATGCACTGAAACACTCGGAGCTCTAGCGCAGCGAACTGCCCAGGACTTATAACACCATTATGATAATGGGTTGGAATGAAATATCGTCTACAACGAAGGCCAATCAATGTGTGATACACGCTCGAAGATGAGAACCACGTACAATGACGACTTCACTCAGTAGAAAAACTGGGCAGACGGTGCGGTCGAGCTCGACGACACCGAAGACTTACCATTGCGATGAAGGTCTTGAGGCGGAGTCTTGACGATATCGATCAAGTTTTTTGGAGGACGGTACGATTTTAAAGTTTTGTGTATCGACTTTGCCGAGATGCCGAGCATCAAGGATCACTCGAACTTAGACTATCACGTTCGAATCTTCGAGCACTGCAATCAGTTGCCGCGCACGTCGTCAACGCGGTATTCACCACGAGTAAATGTAAAGCTGCACCTTCTTACCTCCCATCCCCATCTCACAAAATGGCGATCTTCTCCTCTTCATCACGTTCGTCCTCCAGCAAGTCATACAGCGCGTCGTACAGCACGTCTCGCAAAGTGGCTCCCAAAACAAAGGAGGACAAGACTCAGGGTCAGCCATCGGCGCTTCACGACCAGCTCTCGTATCCCTAACCTCGGTGTCGCGCAGAGTCGCCCCTAGTGAAATACTATCTAATTCTGTATAACGCATGCTCGACCATCGGCTGGGCATACCTGCTCATACTCACCATCGTGCACCTCTTCAATCTCGATGGCAAGACCAAAGACGTCGCGTCGTTGGCGCCACAGACCGCGTCGTCATCCCTCTTCCGCTTCTTGTCCACGTCCGCAACGTTTATCAAGTCGGCCGCTTACTCAGTAACGAGAGACCCGCCCAATTGGTACATCCACACTCTCGTCGCTAATGCCTCTTCTGTATACAACCGCGTCGGCGTTCAGACGGCGTGGATTCAGTCCTTTGCTCTCCTCGAGGTCATACATGTCCTGCTCGGCCTCGTCCGCAGTTCCTTGTTGACGACCGCGATGCAAGTCTCTAGTCGATTATACATTGTCTGGGGCATCGTCGAACAAGTGGAATCTGTAAGTACACTGTTGTCTTTCTTTTGTCCTCGTTCCGGTCTGATCATGCACACACGCGACCGCAGACTCGTTCGAATCCCATCTACGCCTCTATGGTGTTCGCTTGGTCACTCACCGAGGTTATTCGCTACATGTATTATGTCTGTAGCTTGCTCGGTGTAGAATTCGCACCACTCGTGTACATGCGCTACTCCGGGTTCTATGTTTTATATCCGCTTGGTGCAGGGTCCGAGGCGGCGCTCATCTTCAGCACTCTCCCGCGCAGTCTTCCCTTCGTGCGCACTTGGTTTGGTGCATGGACCTCGGTAGATTATTTCCGTGCAGCGCTTTTCTGCATTTGGTGGCCATGTATGTCTTCATTTCTCAAATTGTCTTCTATAAATGCTGATGAATCGTCGAAACAGCATTATATGTAATGTATACACACATGATGCGTCAGCGCCGCAAAGTATTAGGGCAGGGTAAGAGTCGTCTTGTTTTAGAAGACAACTCGAACAAGTCTCGTTGATAATATTGCGACCCCCGTGTGTCATTACTATTGGATATTATGGGTACTAAACTATGAATATGGAATGTATATCTTGGTTTTTTTGCAAGCTTTCGAGTGACATCAGGATAAACTATGTTCGACTTGATGGCGATTATCGTGGTTTGTTGTTTATAGAAGGTGAAAACCCCACGCGGGCGCCGTTGGAGTAGTCAAACGTCGTGTACCCTGGGGTATGGTTAGGCATCGGCGTCAGGCTTGGCTCATACAGACACGGCAGACAAACTTACATGACTTGAGAAATTCGTCACCTATAGCAAGAGGACGTCAACACCACGAAAAAAAAACGAAGACAAAGAAGATATACACCTATGATAGCCAAATTGGATGGGAAATCATTCCCTAAAGCCAGAATACCACCGACACAATCAGGCGAGTTGGCGCTCGTACGACCTTGTAGGAGTCGAAGAAATGAAAAATTGGTTGTGACAATCGTCTGACAATTCTTCTTACCAAGGTTGAAGTCAAAGAGGTTGAGCTTGAAATGAACGGTCCCAAATGTAAATGCAATGTCGATGTTGGAATTGCACGGGTACGTGAAAAATTCTGTCCGATTACGACGCAGGTCAGACTTGTTATATCGAGAGCTTAACGGAGTCTCACCAGGGCCATATTCAGCTGCAGGCCGGGCTCCAGATATCTAAGGTGATTCGTAAGTCGACGCCAGCGAACTTGGGATGAAACTTGAGGTCACCATTGCATAAAACTTGGCTGCTAAACCATTTGGAACATAAATTAATGTCGTTCCTGTGTCAATAGCCTATAGTGACGGATCGCGGATTTTTACATGATATACTCTATCAATAGGCGACGTCGGACTTACTGCAATGGTGTCGGTCAAGACCGTCATGTCTGTATTTACGGTGATTGCGTCCAGCGTTAGGCACCAATACGTCTAAAGTGGGCATGAGTCTCTTGAAGCTCTTTACGGACATAAGAGACACTTACTTTCGATTCAACCGGAATCCAGGTAATGCTTCCCATGGTCTTGGAAATGTCATAGCAACCGAAGCACACCTAGGGAAACGTGGATAAACAATAGCAGCCCGACGGTAATTACACACCTCCGAACCGTCCGCCTTGTTTCGCTCGAGATGAACACTGAACAGAGGTGCCGAAACACGTCTGTGGTCCAGCATATTCTCAAACACGGTGGGTTTTTTCGTCTGTGCAATAGTACCAAAGGCGAGCCCCATCAGCCCGTCATTTGGACCCGACTCAAAGTCATCTGATTCATCAGTCACGGCGACGAAGCACTGGTCGGGAACCGACAGGTCTTGACCGACAAGGAACGTGTCTGTGCATATGTCCCCTGACACTGTTCCCGTGCCCTAGACAAAGCATCGAAGTCGAGAGCGAAAATGAAAAGTTTGACGCTTACGTAGCTAATAGTAACGTCCGATCCTGTATCGTTGAATGTCTTGCTCGCCGAAGGGTCAAAAAATTGGCGTGTGTTCGGTTGACATTGCGGACAGTCCGTAGACAAGGGTATCCACGTATCCGCCGAACCGGTGTCGATATCGACGGTGAAGTATTGAGAAGGCGAGCCAACCTTCATGGATCCATAGTAAAGTACGTCGAGCGCACCCCACATGTAATCCTTCATCGGCATAACAGTTCCCCTTTCGGGTCCTGGTAACAAGGGGACAGACGGGGCATGATCAGACGGAGGTAGGATGTCTTCTGCGGAAAGGGTAATGTTCCAGGGGTCCACTGAGGACGTCGTTATATTGTCGGGGCTGTCCGAGTCAATAATGATGACGGGTGTGTCTTTGGTCGAGTGGGCAGAAATAGGCACGTAGTCGGACATATCCCGCTGGGGTACGAGGCCGATTCCGTTCAAGAACGAGGCTGCCTGCTCATACTTGACGAAGATGCCTTTGATTTCGAGTTGCTGAGGAGGCAGGTCTCCATCAGGGGGGCCTGTATACAGCCGTATTCTGGTGGAGACTTACAACCGGAGCCGCATCGAATATTCTTATATTGCCCGTGTCATCAACTGGAGGTTTTTGCCGCATGCCTCGGCGGCTGAGCCGAACTTTGTGACCAAATTGGGGGCCAGGTAGAACTGGCGAGGCAACAACAGAAGAAATTTGAGCCACAGCGAGAGGCATGCATAGCAGGAAAAACATTTATTAGAGGGCAGAAGGAATGGCGGGGAAGTAGTTTGGATAGTAATGTGCGTGAAAATGGGCGTGTAGAGGACAGAGGAGTGGCGCCTTCGTTATACTTTTTATACGCAACTGAAAAAGCTTAAAACGATTCGAGGCGCGGAAGTCTGGCATTCCGGTGGCTCAGATTCAAAGGCCAAGTGAAACCATTCTTGTCAGAGAAAACGGTGGCCGGCGAGACTAATGAACACTGGCGAAAAGTACTTCTAGTCAAGGCTGGCACCATAGTTCGTTCTTGCGCTGAGAGAGGTTCGATGTATCCGTATAGTCTCTTTAGAGTCAGGAAACCATCAGAACGAGCAAAGGGTCGACAAGGAGGACCCTTAGCTCAACGCTACATAGAAACACAACGATCGGAGACCCATGACTGAAACACTTCCGTGAAGTTCTACGTGAGTGACACCGTCGGGACTCGGCGCAGAGCACAAACTGGAATGTCAATTTGTATTATTATTGACAGGGATGTGTGCAACGGTCCTGTTGCGGTGGATTGTTGCAGTCGGGGGGCATCTTGGAATTTGACCAGAGAAACAGAAAGTAAGGTAAACGGTCCGCTTTGTTTACATGAAAACGAACAATGATGGGCCATCATTCTATCTGATCACGCTTCTTTCGGTTTCTCAAAAAGGAAGTTTCAACTTCGTGTGCCACCAAACACAAAGCTCAGCTGAGGGCACTACCAAATACACTAAATGGGTCCTGATAGAGTTATATGTGCACCAGGACAGTACAAAGTGGTATGCATTGGTCATGAATATTTGAATCTTGAAGCTTGATAGGCTGTCGTTGGGACGTACGGGCCATATAACTACTGCACCTCGAGAACTAGGACACATTACGAAAAGCGGAAAAGACGGCATTATAGCACCTTGCGAGCACGTACGTACGACATGCCAGATTCTAGATCCATCCAAGGAAAATTGTTCTGTCTATGCCGTGCTTAAGAATGGCAGTGATGAGCATTTGCGAGGTTACTGTTTGTATGTTTGTTTGGGAATCACTGCGAACTCCTTTGCCGATGCATTGCTCACTTCTTGCTCACTTCGTACATACGCAATAATCAAAAAGAGAATGACGACATTGTGTCATGACGAGAGTGGGATTCGAACCCACGCCCCGAAAGACCAGATCCTGATTCTGGCGCCTTAGACCGCTCGGCCATCTCGCCATAAGGCAGCTTCTTAAAGAGGAGCTTATATTGAACCTTGTTCTACAGCCACCTTTACTCCGAGTATTCCAGTGGCCTCACTGACCTCCTACGCGTACCATCGATCGTTGAATCCGCCATGCCTCATCGCGAGCGTCCCTTCCCAGATGATCATCCGTACAATGTCCTAGTCACAGGCTTTGGGGTAACTTTCCTCGTCCTTTTCCTGTATCTGGCCATACTATCAGCAAGAGTTCCAACTTCAAGAGGGTACAAGCCAACATCGGCGCCTGCCCTCCCACCTGCTGGAGGAAGACGAAGCTGCGTGGTGGCTCTAGGTTGTGCGGTAGTAGCGGTAAAAGAACTCTAAACCCGACCTACTAGACCTGCTGTCTACCTGGACAGCCGACGTTTTCCGGGAACGGGAGCCTTAACTCTTGCTCCTACAGCAGCAGCCGGAGCAGAGAGGACCGCAGTCGCGCAACAACAACAGGTTTGACTGACCTACCCTACCTACACGTGCTGCCCAAGGACCTGGAGAAGCTATACCCGGCACAGGAACGCTAGGAGCTAGAACCCGCGCTCTAACGGGCGCATCAGGAACTACAACATTGGCGCTGCTACCGGCTGGTAAAGCTATGCGTCTCCTGGAGCTGGGTACCGTGGATGTACCTCCTTCTCTAGTATCGGGAGTTCCCCTCCTTACTCAAGATGCGGGAGCCGATGCTGTCCCCCCTGCCGCACGTTACCCCCATACTACAGCTCGTGGCACCGCATCGTATGCCCCTAGACCTCCCAGACTTACGCTTGCCCTACTGCCTGCGGCAGCTGCTACACGTTAGGAAGGTACCCGAACTGTCGCTCGGTCCTACCCAACCCTGGTCCGTATACTATCCCGACCGTATCTAGCCCACTCGCTACGCTTCTTAAAAAAAAAAAAAAAAAAAAAAAAAAATTATCGTGAGTCACACACATTCCCGTTCGTCGACTCCATTGGTAGAAAGGCTCACCGGGGTCATCGTAGAAAGCAAGCCCTGAACCGCTTGTAATTGCTGTAGCAGACGATCCGGATCTCCAATCTGTGCATGTACTGCACGATGAGTTCGCGCAGTAGCCTCCCGATATGCAATACGAATGGTTTGAACGGTGAATGGCACAGATGAGTCGCCTTCCACCAGTGAAAAGTCGGAATTGATGTTTTGGTCATTTGTTGAAGCTTCCTCTGGAGTCAGATAAGACTGAAGGATTGCTATCAGGTCAACTACATTGGCTTGGATGGACTGAAGCTCCTGTGGTGTTACAACATCCTCATACTAATGAGAGTTTCAGCCATCATCATATTCATCAAATAATACTGCATATCGTACTCCAACTAAGACTTGTAGGAAAAAGTTGGCATTGTCCCTATGTCTGATAAGTTGATCAACCAGATCTGGGTCCACGGGTGTACTATGAAGGTGGTTGTGCTGTAGTCAGATAAAACTCCAAATTGTTTCATAATTATGTCCATAGTGTCAACGGACCAGATCGATAAGAGCTTCTGGATTTGCTTCATCAGCGGGCAAGGGCCAGTCAGCCACTGCATCAGCCATCAGAACAGGAGAAAAAAAAAGATGACTGTATAGCAGCAGCTTGTTAAATCTGAAAGATGAGAGATGGGCGTGGGCTCGGGCAACAAAGGTCGCCTTGAAGCTCGTGTGACATAAATGACTCATACCAGACTAATATCTAATGACAGTTGTGATATCAATCAAGTGCCGCTAATCAATTAATCAAGTGCCGCTAATCAATTGTGAATATGAATCAATCACGAATTTGATGAATGATTGTCTATCAATATATAATTTAGAAATGCAATTATTGTTGAAACTCATCAATTTTGAAATCACAACATTTTACAATGAAATCATGAGCAATCATTCAGTGCTGAATTACGAAAATTTCAAAACTGAATATTGTCAGACGAAATCAACAATGCTACAAGTGAAATCTCATTTTTTGTATTCATCGTGATGAGTCATAAACATCACACACAGAATTGGTTGATCATACTTTGGAATTGGAATTCATGACTCAAGATTTCACTAGACCGTCACATCAGCCGAGGCATCACTGGAGACGAATTATTGATCTTGTCTAACCAAATCCAATTTACATGTAATTTTGTCCAGTAAGGTCCTATAAAACCTTGGTGGACAAAATTAAAAAAACAAGATTTGGAGTCGTGATCATCAATGATCATCAGTGAATGAAAATCAAAATTTGGTTTTGGCTATTTTTTCGATTTCGTGGACGGGAATTTCGATTTGATGGCATCCCTTCGGTATGTCACATCAGCCATCACAACGAAATCCGGGTCCGATTGTTCCAAATTTCCAGACCGTGGAACCAAATTTACAATTTTACATACATTGTGAATGATTGATTGATGTTCCAGACCCTGACTCTAACTCTAACCCTAACTCTAACCCTGACCCTGACACCTAACTCTAACCCTAACATCTAACTGACCCTAACACCTAACTCTGACCCAAACAGGCAACTCTAACTATAGATTGTATAGAATACCATGAAATTTTTGAAATGGCACACCTAACTCAATTGCAATATCAGTACAGAAAAGTACCTATATATGACTCATGTATCATGGAACGATCGATCAATTTTTAATTTGTTTGAATTCATTGTGATGAATCATAAACATTACATGCAGAATTGGTTGATCATACTTTGGAATTGGAATTCGTGACTCAAGATTTCACTAGACCGTCACATTAGCCGAGGCATCACTGGAGACGAATTTTTGATCTTGTCTAACCAAATCCAATTTACATGTAATTTTGTCCAGTAAGGTCCTATAAATGCACCAGGATAGTACAAAGTGGTATGCATTGATCATGAATTTTGACAGGCTGTCGTTGGATATACGGGCCACATGCAGCACCTCGAGAACCAGGATAAGTACATTATGTACGAAAAGCTGAAAATACGGGATTATAGCACCTTGCGAGTACGTACGACATGCCGGCTTCCAGATTCATCCAAGAAAAATTGTTCTGTCTAATAGTCTACTTATGCCGCGCTCTAGAACGACATTGACGAGCATTCACGTGGTTGTTGTTTGTGCTTGTTTATTTGTGAGTCACTGCAAACTTTTTTGCCGATGGATTGCTCGCTTCGAGCGCAACAACCAAATAAAAAGTCACCACACGGTTATATGACGAGAGTGGGATTCGAACCCACGCCCCGAAAGACCAGATCCTGATTCTGGCGCCTTAGACCGCTCGGCCATCTCGCCTATTAACGTTGCAGGTAGAGGAGACCTATATGAACCTTGTCCTTGTCCTATAGCCACCTTCACTCCGGGTGTTCAACCTACCCTTGTGTCCGTTGCTGGAGACGCGCACCATCGATCGTCGAGTCCACCATGCCTCATCGCGAGCGTCCCTTCCCAGATGATCATCCGTACAATGTCCTAGTCACAGCCTTCGGGGTAATTTTCCTCGTCCTTTTCTCATATTTCTTCGCATCGCTCACCCGATCTATGCCAGCCCTATCATATGCCTGGTCCCAACCCATCCTGGCTCGCTGTCAAGCCCATGGAAGGATTGCACATCGTCGACGGCGTCCGTCATCCCGTTCGCATCCAGACCCTCCAGATCCCCGTATCCTATGCCACGGTGCTCGACATCATACCCCCATTGCACGCCGTCCCCCCTGTCGTAGCCGAGGGCGTAGAACTCATTCCTCCCCTCGAGGGCTATGATCTCTTTCTCCATGTAGGTGCCATGGGTCGAGGTCCTCTGCGTATCGAAATGGTCGGCCATCGTCGCGGTTACAACATCAAGGACTACGCGGGCAATCTCGCGCCCAAGATCGAGGATCGCAAGGACACGGCCCATATCGAAGAGGTCCAGGAACCCGTCGTGCACATCATCCCATCCAGTCAGTTTGGACAACAACAACGCGCTGACGCCAGGAGAGACGAGGCCGACGACGACATCCTCGTTCTCAATTCCGAAGGCAAGGGTCTTTTGCAGCCGGCAGGTCCATCTGTCGTCCAGATCATCCAGCCCAAATCTCAAGAAAATGGCGATGATGGCGTGTTGGATCTCGGTGGTGCGTCGAAGCAGAAGGAGGTCGTCCACCCTCCCGTCCGCGGCTACAACCGAACATGGGAGAACTTCAACCTTGAGAACGACTATCATACCGGTCTTCCTGTAAAGCGCATGATACAGACTATCAAACAGTCAGGATTCGACGTGAGTGCTTCCTCTCCATCTCAACGTTTTTCCCTGCAGCATGGCTTCATGGTCCATCTCTCACATATTTCTACTTATGCCGTGGCATCACCTCACTCTGTCCAATGTGTCCCTACTCGCGTTTTCGCACTTTACTCGCCCTTCTTTACGTCAATAGATACGTGACTGACACGCCTCACCTTCCCTCAGCAAATATATCTCTCGATGGACGCCGGCCACTACCTCGGCGACTTCATCTACTACACCTCACTCGTAGAGGTCGCACACAAGCTAACCCTGCGGCCAAACAAGTACGAGAAACGCCGATACCCGCACGTTCTCTGCGTTCATTGCCCGCCCGTCGGAGAGCCGCTGTTGACGGAGGACGTCACTCACGCTCTCAAAATGATTGTCGCGTGCATCACTCGCGAGTTTCAGTCCATGGACGATCAGGCTGCTGCCGACCAGGCCGCAAAGTAAGTAGCTCGGCTTCGATTTGCGGGTCCATATTCACAAGTAGGGCGGAAGCCAACGATAACTACGACATGTCGATTCTTTCTTGAAAGGACCATCCATACCCGACACATAATACTTAGCTACGTGTACATAATGCCCCATGTATTATCTTCGGCGTCATTTCTCGCTGTCCATTACCGTTTCTGTTTTTGTTGTCACAATCTCATACCTTCTTGCGTCTTTCTGGGATGCGGCTCTCGTTACAACACGGGATTTTGCCAATGGGTTTGCGTGTCATTGTTGTTGTGCGGAGTCAAAGGGAAA